GGGGGACTCCCCCCCCCCCCGGGGCAGCCCATTCCAGAGCCTGACAGCCCTTTCGGCGAAGAAGTTTTTCCTAAAGTCTAGCCTAAACCTGCCCTGGTGCAGCTTCAAACCATTAAAGCCATAAAGGCACGCTGAAGATGCTGGCTGCCCTGGCAAGCGCGACCCGATAACGGCTTTTGGATGGGTTATGCTTGGCCCCCTGCACAGCAGCATCCAGTGCGCTTACCCTGGACGCGTTGCATGCAGCAGCGTCCTAAGTGACCTCCTCCACATGCCCTGCATACTTCAGGCGTTAAGCGAGATAATAAAACCACATACCAGATATCAGCAAGTGCTAGTAAGATGTAATTCATTCCTGGCAAGCCCAGAACTCACATCTTGGGTTTGTTTTTGGGTTTTGTTTGGTTTTTTTTTTAAAAAAAAAAAAACCCCAACACACCAACAAAAACACCACACACACGCAGGATCACAGGGCCAAAGTCCAAAAGGAGTTCAGATGCGCAGAGTCACTTTCATCTGCTCAAGCGCCGCCTAATTAAGAACAATATTTGGAACGCAGCAAATTCCCCCAGAACCACAGGTAATAAAATTCAGATTTTTTTTTTTAAAAAAACCCCAAACCCACCCCACGAGGAGAGGAGCCAATGAGAGCTCATCGTTTGACAGCGAGACTATAGGGTTCCTCCGCGCGCTGTGAGACCCCTCCAGCTCCCGCGTCCGGCTGACCCCGGGAACGTCTCACTTGACTTCACCCCACCACGGGCTTCCTCTCCAAGAGAGGGGCCGGCGAGCTCCCCGCATCCTTGACTGCCGGCCAGAAACGCAGCAACGGCTCCGAGCGCTCCAAGACAGATCCTTCTGATTATCACAAAATGAAATTTTCAGCTCTTGTCATCATCGGCCTCAGATTTGTAATGTTACAAAAACATGATTTCCTTTCCCCATTGTATCAAGCCCTCTTCCATTCCCGCTGGTGAAATCAAACAATTTTAAAAGAATTTATATGATGCTAATTTAAACCGAATGTATTTAGCTGCCAATCGCAGTTCCCCGACTCTCCCAGGCCTCCTGCCAGCTCCGCTCTGCTCCAGCGCAGCTATCAATCATGGCCAACAGACCGAGGAGAAAGACCCAGCGATGCGAGAAGCGATACTGGTAATTCTGGCAGTGGGAACCCTGCCCTTCGCGTTCGGCAAAACGACACGACGTGACCCCATGCGCCGGGCGGCTCCAAAAGCCGCAGCCCCCCCGTCACCTCTCGCTGGTGAAGCGGCCCGTGATACCTTTTGCAGGAATAAGCCTTGCTCAGAATCCCAGCATCGCTTCCAGCTCGGCTTTTGCAGCTGGATGTGGCACGTTGGCCCTTCCTCCCCGAGCCACCGTGCCGGAGCGGTGTGCCTTTACTGCCGGAAAGCCATCGAGTCCAACCCTGGAGAGAACTCTGCTCCCACAAAGGGCGAAGGAAACCCCTTCTGGAGTCTGCGCCTTGCTCTTATAGAGCAGCACAAAACTGGGATCTGCGGGAGACTGAAGACGGGCTTCGCTGTTAATCTATGTAAATCTATGTAATCGCATGTAAAAAGCAGGGCGAGGGAGGTTCTCCTCCCCCTCTACTCTGCCCTGCTGAGATCCCACCTGGAGCACTGGGTCCAGTTCTGGGCTCCCCGATTTAAGAAGGATGAGGAACTCCTGGAGAGAGTCCAGAGGAGGGCAACAAAAATGCTAAAGGGACTGGAGCATCTCCCCTACGAGGAAAGGCTGAGGGAGCTGGGCTTGTTCAGCCTGGAGAAGAGAAGGCTGAGAGGGGACCTCATCAACACCTACAAATATCTCAAGGGTGAGGGTCACCAGGACGGAGCCAGACTCCTCTCAGTGGTGCCCAGCACCAGGACAAGGGGCAAGGGGCACAAACTGAAGCAGAAGAGGTCCCAGTTGAACGGGAGGAAAAACTTCCTGACTTGGAGCGTGCCCGAGCCCTGGCCCAGGCTGCCCAGGGGGCTGTGGAGTCTCCTTCTCTGGAGATATTCAACCCCCACCTGGACGCTGTCCT